AGAGAGAGACAGCAAGAGAGCACAAGCAGGGGGAGCGGCAGGCAGAGGGAGAAGCAGGCTCCCCGCTGAGCAGAGAGCCCGACATGGGGCTCCATCCCAGGACCCTGGGACCTGAGCCAAAGACAGACGCTCAATTGACTGAGCCACCCAGGTGCCTCAAGACTCTTTAAAATAGGTATGTTTTTAAAATATTAGCCAGAAATCTTAGTTATCCAATTTAATAAATGTCAGCAAATATCCACTGAGCATCTACTAAGTGTGAGACAAGAGTGTGTCCATGGGAGAAGGGAGAGCATAAGATCCAATCCCTGTCCTCAAGGAGTTGAAAAGTCACTAGGGAGGCCAACCAGAGGATGCAAATAACTATAATTGATGGGTAGAATGTAGTGACTGCCACAAACAGCGCCAGCCAACACGCTGCAGGAGGAGACAATGAATTTGAACTTGGTGAGGATCAGGACAGGTTCACAATGGAGGCAGCACTGGCCCTCAGAGAAGCACCTGTCCTTTGAAAAGATTCTATTAACTCTTGTGGCTCCCCAGTTGGTGAATTATTTTGAGTCCTGTGCCTATTCTGGGCTAACAACTGGAAGAAAGCTTAGCATCCTGACTTTTCTTCCCCGAAATGCGCCAGCTCCTTGCTCCAGGGGATCACGCAGTCTCCTCCAGCCAGTGAAACACACTGGGACACATGGGGCTCTGCACACGTCCCTGACCCCACCCACTGAATTCCTGCTCATCCTCAAAGGTTGCAGCTCAGTGTGACCTCCTCAGAGACACCCGGACCACTCTCCCCCTGCTGATGCACTCCCGCTCTCCGGCCACTGGTATCTGATTTCAATGGACGGAGAGAAGAATTGGCACTGTTTCAGATTATCTTAGCTGTTCACTTTTTTAAAAATGCAGTATCTCCCCCTACAGGAGAAAAAATAGACAAGAAAGCGGGAACTTGGCTTTTCTATTGCCTCTGTGTCCTCCGTGCCTGATAAATCATAGTATTTAATAAGTATTGGTTGAATGAATTAATGAATAGTAATAGATCAACTCATCCCTTCCCTGGTTTTTTTCATCTCTCTGATCTGTTATTTTTGCGGGGAGAGATCAATGGTTTTAGAAAATATGTAGGATTAATGTCATACTGATGTAATCAATCAAAAATATTCATACTTGGGACCGCCTGGCTGACTCAGTCAGTAGAGCATGCGACTCTTGGTCTCAGGGTTGTGAGTTTGAGCCCCACGTTGGGTGCAGAGATTACCTAAGAATAAAATCTTTAAAAATATATTCACCCTGGGGCTCAGTATGGCGACTGGCAATTAGCAGAGTTTCTTGGGCTTTGGTTCATGAGAGGTTTTCTGCACAGTGCAGGTCTTTTCAGCAAAACCCACATGCTGCGCAGCACAATACAGCTCATCACCCCACTCCCGCCCTCATTCCTTTCAGCAACTATTTAGTAAGCACGTATTACGTACCATGACGTGCAAGGCACTGCAGATACAAAGCTGAGCGTCACAGACAAGGGCTCTGCCCTAATGGAGCAAAGTGGAGAGGGAGAAAGAGTCCACGAAACAGCACCAGTGAAGAACAAAGGGATAAGGGGCACCCCACCCTCACCCCCGCCGGAGGGCTGGGCCTGCTCCTGCGGCTGGTCGTAAAAGAAGGCTTATTTGAGTAACATTTGAGGCGAAGTCTGAAGAAGAAGTAGGAATGTGCTGGGGGTGGGAGGCAACGTTGGCAAAGAGAGCTCCAGGCCAAGGGAAAAGCAAGTTCAAAGGCCCAGAGGTGAAAGCAAGGTTGGCACATTTATAAAATGGAAGCTCACTCTTGTTAGAGGCGCCTGAAGGGTCCGATGCCAGGGAACATGGGCCTTTTTATTCAACACCAAGACCAAGAGAGCATGGAGGCAGTGTGGGTCACTGACTGTGCCTTGGGAAATGCCTGGAATGTAAGCTCCATGGGGTAAGGACACTGCCAGCTTTATTCACCATATGAGAATGGGGCCAGGAACACAGCAGGGTCTTAATAACCATTTGCTGAGTGAATGAATGAAGCGCCCTAAGATGATCTCAGCTGTCTCCTCTAGTGTCACCAGGCCCCAAGGCATCATAAGACTGGGAGGCGTCTTGAGAGCTGGCTGGTCTGCTCCGCCCCCTCAGGCTGTCTGACCTGCCCTGAAAACTCTCAGAGGGGACACTATCTTGTGTATTTTATGAAGAATAGTGGCATGACTCGGAAATTCAGTTCTGAGGTCATACACATGCAACTGAGGGACAGACGATCTGTCCAGTCATTCGGTGAGTCACAGCAGGATGGACAGGAGCAGGGACAAAAGTCCTTAATGCTCCGACTGGCAGGTCAGGTAGCGAGGGCACTCTGGCTCCCCAGCATTATCTGTCATCTGTTAAGATGCCCTGGTGCCTCATTTCTCAATCTGCGAGTGAAGATCAATGAGACCCACATTCTCAAAGCAGCGCCCTCAAACGCGGAAATTGTATTTTCTGGTATAGCGGGCAGACCCAAGTTTCTCTCACCTCTCATTACCTCTCAGCCCTGGCTGACTGCTGCCGTCTCTCCCAGAGAAGGCCACTGCGCCTGTGATCCAGGATATCCTGGCTGGGAAGCTGGGAAGCACAGACACCACATCTGGCCTAGGCCCACATCGCTCACCCTATCTGAGGGGCCGCTGCCTTTCACTTGGGCTACTGCACCTGTTCCCTGCTTCTGCCTCACCTCCCCGACTTCTCCACTAAGCCCCCAGAGTGATGTTTTTAAAAAGCTAATCTGATCATGTCACACCCCAGCCCGCACTGCTCAGTGGTTTTCCACAGTCCTTCAGAGAGAAGTCTCCAGGGCTCTGCATGGCCTGATCCTACCATCTCCAGCCACAGCCATCTCTCCTCATCCACAGCAGGCTATTTTCTCCCCAAGTGAAACATGCTCTTCCTGCACTCAGGACCTTTGCACAAGCTCTTCCTGCTACCTTCTTGTCCCTACTCACTAGGAATATAAATTCTACTTCTTCTAGGAAGTCTTCCCATCTCAGGCTCTGTAGGTCACCTATTATCTAACTTCCATGGTACCCTGGACTTCACTGCAACACTCAGTTCACTGGGAATCCCTTTTATGGTGGGCCTTCCCCACTCGAATGCAAACTTCAGGAGGTCCTCGTTGTGTCTGCCTTATTCCCCACTATATTCCTCATGTCTGGCACAGCAGAAGCTCATCAAGTGAATAAATGAGGACTCCAATCTTGGAACTCTCGGGAAACACTGGACCAATTAAAATAGGAGGCAGAGAGAAACGGAAACAAAACAGAACCTCATTACTGCTAAGCTAAATGACTCCCCTGCCCCCCTCCCCGGAAGCCTGATTTCATCTTATCATGGGCGTGTATATTGTGACTAGGCCTCAGTTCATTCTTCAGAACTGGTTTCTGGTTCGGATTGGAGACATATGGGCCTCGCCACCATGTGCCACCATGGTCAGTAGCCGGGGCTCTGTGACAATCCAAATCAAGTCAAGATGCACTGCCTGTGGCCTGTGCCCTCCGCTGCAGAGACAAACAGCCCTCCTGTCCCAGCCTCACACAGCAGAACAAGGCCAGAAGGACCTGGAGCCTTCACTCGTTTTGTCTTACCTTCTGTCTTATTTTCTTCCCCCCAACAAGGACAAACAATAATTCAGTAAAGGAAATATGAGTAATGGAAAGAAAGAGAAAAAAATAAACATATCAAAATGGGCAGTGTCCCTTGGGCCACTGCTTTTAAAGAAAACAAGGAGAGTCGATTTGGAGATATTTCAGTAACTTTGGAGAAAAAAGGAGAAAAATAATCAAGCTGGCCTCTCCCTTTCTAGGCTGGATTCCTTCTCTCTCTCTTGATGTGGAAAGAAAGGATTTCTCAGGCCAGGGGTTGTCACTCTGGCATGCATCAGAATCCCGTGGGGAGATGTGTTGAGCTTGCAGGGGCCAGCCCCAACTCAGGTCCAGTGAATGAAAACCCCTGGGGGAGGGGCCCTCACAGGATCACCCCTCCACCCCTGCAGGGAGGGCCCTCTCCGAGGAACAAAGCTCAGGAGGCAAAGGCAGAGTTATGCCCTGTGCCCACTGACGTAAGGTACAGCTCAGGTAAGGAACACAGATGTGCTCCTGGGGTCCCCAGAGTCAGGTACTGAAAAGCTTGTTCAGGGGCGCCTGAGTGGCTCAGTCGTTAAGCGTCTGTCTTCGGCTCAGGTCATGATCCCGGGGTCCTGGGATCGAGCCCCGCATCGGGCTCCCTGCTCTGCGGGAAGCCTGCTTCTCCCTCTCCCACTCCCTCTGCTTGTGTTCCCTCTCTTGCTATGTCTCTGTCAAATAAATAAATAAAATCTTTAAAAAAAAAAAAAAGAAAGAAAGAAAAGCTTGTTCAAAGTAAATGGAAAAGGCCTAAGAAAATCAAAAGAATTAGTGCAAAACATACAGCTTTATGAAACAATGAGCAATCAACCTGTGGACCCCTGGTGAGTCTTACCCTGTTTTGGTTAAAAACTCAGCAGAGGCTTTGTTACCTGAATCTCAGGAGTTGTGAAAAGAAAGCAAAGTCCTCTAAGCAAAGCAACCACTTCTCTCCGCTATGGAAGGGTGGAGTCGGAGTGCCTTAGAGAAAGCCAAACAGCCTTTACAGTGCGTCCCTCCCATGGCAGGAAAGGATGAGGGGAGCAGGGGACAACACAGCCCAAACCCAGGAGGGAGGCTGGTTCTTTTGCGAATTCCCAAACTATGAAAGACAGTCATGATCCCATTTGTGGTGAGCTCATCACTTGCTAGGTACCACGCGCTATTTGCTTTCCATGCTCTTACCAAATGTGATCTTTACAACAACCCTGTGAGTAGGTACCGTTCACGCGAGGAAACCGATTCAGAGAGCATGAGCGACTCGCCTGCAGTCACACATCTATCTATAAAGGGGCGAGTCGGAGATAATATCCGTCAGTCTGAATCACAGTGAGTTCTTAACTTGTATCTTGGCTGTCTCTTATTTTAAAGACAAGGACAGACACCATTTGGAATGTGACATGAGCAAGAATTCTCAGTTGTCTGCCATTTTTATTTGGCTGGGCCAAGCCTCACCTCAACCTGGGAGATGAACCAGGTTCTTATTTCAGTAAGTGTTACTGACGGCCTTCAATACATTGTGCTCTGCGGCAGGTACAAAAGCCCCAGATTTAATAAGTGGGAGATGAGGTCCCCCTTGCAAGAATTTACTGTAAACTTACAAATTTACAGCGTATTAAAGAGACAGACATAAAACACTGACAGGTAGTTTTACCAGAGGTCTGGGAATTGCTGCATCATACAGAGTCACTGATGCCTGGAGATTTAGAGAGGAGGTGAGCTTTGAACAGAGGTCAGGACTGGTTTGTCAGAGCTGAGAGGTAAGGGTGGTGCAGCAAAGGACGAAAGCAGCCAAGTGTCAGTCAAAAGACAACTCTGCCTCAGGCCATTCTGCTCCCCCTTAGTCCGGGCCCAGCGGAGTCTGGCAAGTTCCCAAGCTCACGCTGGAAAAGCAACCCTTGGCTTGGGTCACGTGTCCAGTAAATGCCTGCAGTGAAATCCCAAGAAGGGTGCTATGCATCCTCAGAGCACCTTGAGGCAAGGGGAGCAAGGCTCTCATTTTATGAGGTGACTTTGAAACCAAAGTCAGCAGGTCCAAAACTTTCCAAATAATTTCTCCTCTACCTTGAAGAGCAGACATATAAATCAGAAAGGAAGTACATGTAAGCCAAGGAGTAAAAATGGAAATTAAACCCATGATAGGTAGAAACTTTCAGAATATTTTGAGTAAAAACCTTAACAATATGCACGTGCTTTCCCCCGCAATTCCACGTCCATAAATCCTCCCAGGGGGAGGGGAGGGTGCAAGGCATGGGGTGCAAGGATGACTATAGCAGTTTTGTTTATAATAGTGACAAACAGTACACAACCAAGTGTCCAACAAGAGAAGATTAGCTCACAGAGTTCAGCATGTCCACAAAACAGAATCCTATAATCCTCTGTAGCCATTGCAAATGGAGATGTAGATTTATGTTTATTAATGAGGGAAACAGTCCTAATGTATTTAGTCAAGTCTGGTTATAAATAAGCAGATTATAAAACTATACATATATATATATTTTTTTTTACAAAATGGAATCATGTGATTCTACTTTCTCCAGACCAATCCTGAATCAATTGAATAGAATTGAAATCATATGGAATAAACTCTCTGATCACAGTGTAATTAACCTAGATATCAAAAACCATAAGATAACTAGGAAAACTGCAAATATTTTCAATTAAACAACACACTTTGAAATAATCCATCAAAAGAAAATGTATAGGGTAAGGAGAATTTATAGAGTAATTTAAACTGAACAATATAACAAAATATAGCATATGAAAATTTGGGGAGGCAACTAAAACAATTATTAAAGGGAAACTTTTACCTTTAGCTGCTCATATTAAAAAAAAATTTAAGGTCTAATGTTAATGACCCAATGTTCTGCATGAAAATAAATAAATAGGGGCACCTGGGTGGCTTAGTCATTTAAGTGGCTGCCTTTGGCTCAGGTCATGATCTCAGTCCTGGGATTGGGTCCCCAGCGGGGAGCCTGCCTCTCCCTCTCCCTCTGCCTGCCACTCCCCCTGCTTGTGTGTGCTCTCTCTGACAAATAAATAAATAAAATCTTTAAAAATATATTAAAATTAATTAATTAGTTAATTAATTAATAAAAGGGCAAAGTAAAGCAAAAGTAAGCCAAAATAAGAAAAATGAAAAATAAAGATAGCAACAAAATAGAAATCAGGCAAACAATGCAGAAATCTAAGAAAGCAGAAAGCTGTCTTTCTGTTTCAGAAAATCTGAGATATTCCTATATATAAGACCCTGTATAAAAGGCTTATATCTCTATGAATAGACATGTTAACAGAAGTTATCTTTGGCTGATAGGATCGGGGACAATCTTTAAAGACTTCTTATTGACGTTCATCTGTATTTTCTTTTTTTTTTTTTTCTATCCTTCTTTTATATTTGAGGGCTCCTAAGGGGACTGACATCCTCTGCTTATTTGCTGAAAAGCAACAGACCCTACCTATTAACCCTTTGTTTCCCAAAGGAGGGGCATGGGCCCCTGATGATACAGAAGTTCTGAGTGGTATGAAGATATCTTTCAATCACACTGCAGAGAAAAAGGGGGCCCCCTTTGAAGTTTCCTTCAGTTATTATGACTGTATGCAAGGAGACAGCTTTGGTCTGGTGCAACTATGTTTTCGAATGCT